ACAAGTGTTCCTATGGAGTCCTGGTGTGGCGCTGTAGGATAAGCACTGGACTCTAAGGTTGGCAGTTCAAACTCACCAGCCGCTCCTCAGAAACCCTTTATAGGATCGCTGAGTCAGAACCGACTCGAAGGCACTTACCAAGAAAACCTTTTGAATCCGTATTAATCAGAAACCAACGAGTACAAAGGTGTTAAGTGCCTGGAGTCATAGCGACCCCTGAATAGGGTTTCCGAGGAGTCTCTGGTAGATTTGAACTGCTGACCTTGCAGTTCAAACCGACCTTGTGGCCTAGTAATTATCCTACAGCGCCACATCAGGACTCCGTACCAAGGTAGACAGATGTATATTTGCAACAAAAATTAAAAAAAAAAAATTTTTAATAGTAAAAGTACAGGCGAGTTCACAGATCTTGACCATAGTCACACAAATTCCTTCATTTCCCAATGCATAGGAAAGTTAACCACAAGGTTGGTGAATCAAACCCATCAGCTGTTCCTCCGGAGGAAGATGAGGCCGCCAACTCATGTAGAAACCCTGGGGTTCATAGCGACCCTGCATAGAGTTTACCAGGCCAGAAAGCCTCCTCTTCCTCCCGCCGAACAGCTGGGAGTTTCGAACTGTTGACCTTGAGGTTCGCAGCCCGATTCGTAACCACAACGCTACCAGAGCTCTGTACTATAGGGTAGTTATGAATTGGTCAACTCGAACATAGTTTCCTTCTTCCATCCTTCGTACCTGCTGCTCCCACTTCAGCCCATCCCTCCTCTCTCCCCGACCAGCTCCTTCCTCTCCCCATGCCCCTCGCTCTACATTCTTCTTCCCACTCCTCCTCTCTCCCCCTCTAACGCTCCTCGTTCCACTACATCCTACTTCCCACCGCTCCCTCTCCGTCCCCCCTCTCAGTCAGCGCCTCCTCCTAAATCCTTTTCCTTCTACAAGCTCCTCATACTCCCTCAGTCGCGTTGCCGCAGAGGCAGCTGGGAGAATGAGGCGCGGCGGTGTGTCGGCTTCTGGGGATTGTAGTCCGGCGCCGTCCGCGCACGCGCACTGTGTTCTAGCGGGCGCCGCTCATTGTCCCGGCTGAGCGGCCGGGGTGAGTCGGTGCGTGGGGCGGGGGTGAGGAGGGGAATGACGGCCCCTCCCTACCCGGGACCAGAGCCGGGCGGGGGCGGGCCGGGGAGGGGACCTAGGTGGAGGCTGAAGGGAGAGGGGAGGGGATGG